ACTTTGTTGCTCCATAGTTTAGAATTGTAGTGGAAGGTTTTCTGGGTGCATTTGAAAAAGAAAAAGAAATACCATTTACATAAAGTGCTACCGCTTTGCTCTTTTATCCATTCGACAAATATGGTACAGTCGCATCTTGGTGTTTACTAATCTTGTCCTCAGGTATTATTCTCTTAGTACCTTGTCTGGTACTAATACAGTGAATTGATACACCATTGAGCTGACACTTTTTAAACCTACACCTACTATATTTACTTTTTTCTACTTGCGGGACACTTGACTTGCACTGAAAGTCTACCTTCAGTGTATAGTGGCAGTTAGGTGGTAAGAGTGAAAGGTTCTCTGATTAAATTAATAAAAAAGAACATCATGTAAGTTATTCAGATAACGTACTACATGTATCGCTTTTCTCCTTTATAATTTGACAAATATAATATCAGCATCTTGGTCTTCACTGAATTGATAAATCATCGTGCTAACAGTTATCAAACCTACACTTACTAGATCCACTATTACCTTGTATGTTGACCTCAATAATGTCTGAATCTCAATCTGTCTCCGCATGCGTCAAGCCCATGCTTGGTCATGTGACAATATACGGGAATCTTCGCAGATCCAAAGTTCAGGAGGTACTCTTTGTTTCCTTTAGACCTGGTTAAAAAAATAAAACTTCATTGGTTCACCTCAATCTGAAGTAATTGCCTCATTCGGGGTGATAGAAAGGCTGACTTAGAAAGGGCCCCAACGAAATTGAGGAAAAAGTCTTTCATATCAAGTGGACAACCTAAGTGGAAATCTAAGAATATCGAGTGACGCTGTAATTGCTGACTTTGTCGATAAGCAAAACTCTTCTTTAACGTCTATATTTTTTCCCCTTGTTTATATTGTCACCAGTCTTGGGCGTCGCTCCCAATTAAATTATAAATTACTCAGTCCTACTTAGTTAGTGATTCATATACTGTCCGTCATCTTGAGGGTTTCGTTAATTGTCAGTGCTTTCATTTTTCCTGATTTTTTTTCTTCGCACAAAAGTAGTGATCGTTATTTGAGTTTATTTTACCATTTCTGGACCAATGTTTGCTTTTTGTACTCTACAATCATAATTGACTATAGCGAAAACTCCTGAATAAATTCATTTAGTTTCTTTTCTTTGTTTGATACCGACCTTCGGTGTTTAAGTATTTGATTTACTGCTATATTTCTCATTTTAATTTCGTCGATATTTTGTTACTGATTTTATAGCAGTTACCATTGTTTGTTATCCAGAAAATCTTCTCAACTTTGACTTCCCCGATTTTCGTGTATTTGACTTGCCAATTGCTAAAGAAAATTAAGAAGAAATTTTAGCAATTTTAGTTGGGAACGCTCAGAGATTTTAAAAGTATATTTCAAAATTTGCGGCTCAGTGTCTTTTTATAGTAGGTTATTTTCTATCGCTTGTACTTACAAATTCTTTTCATAAATGTCTTTGCACGTTGAAGCTGTAAGAAGTAAGATAACGATATTACCTACAGTGTATGTCACAAAAAATGAATTTATTAAACAAGGTAAATCCTTTTAAATAGTCGTTTCAGTCGACAGCATCAACATCGTTGTCTTTGTCCAAATGGCGACTGTACTAGGTCACATGACCACTGATCATGTGGCCAGCATGGTCATGTGATCATTTTGTGCTAACTGTTGTACTAATAAGTACCTAAAGTCAAAGTGTCCATTCCGAAGAATAGGAAAACGGGATAACACTGACTCGGTCTTGGTGCTTTCCATCATCCGATTAAAACATTGATGGATTTAATTTAATATGACCTCGTGGTAGAAGAGCCGCTTCAAATTGTCGCGAAATCAGATAAAGCTACTAAAATGAGTGGAAAAACCGTACATCGCCTCGAACGACAGTCGACATCTTCTAAAGCTTTGATAAACGGAATGTCGTGAACCATTTGATTTTTTTTGGAAATTTCGTGCTCCTTTGCGTAAATGGTACTCAGGCAGCGCTTACCATTTGTACTGAAATTTCAGTGAAAAGTTTCCGTCAAATGTTACTGGTATTTTTTTTGGTGCCGAAAACAGGAACGGGATTGAGTTGTACTATTTACAACATACCGGTAAATTTTTCTCTTTCTCTCGACATGAAGCCTGGGACTAGTAATCCAGACAAATGGTACAGAAAATTTCGGTCGTTTCGGTAAAAACGGGAAAAAGGTAATACTTTGAAAGGTATTACTTTTTTCCCGGAAAATTTCCACCAGGATGAACCGTTCCATTTGAATTCTCCCCGGAATTTCCGGGTTTTTCCATACAATGGTAAGCGCTCAGGGTTTCTTTTCTTTGTTATCCTGGAGCCGTGGACGTCGATAAAAAGATACCAAAAAATGTGATGCACGTGCAGAGCAATTTGTTTGCTTATAAAACCAATTGCTTTTGATGTTCTTATTGCCAAAGTCGTCATGGTTGCTTTTGCCCGCTATTTCCTTGCACTTATTGCTAAATTGACTAGTATCACATAGAAAATGTAAACTTTCGTAGATGAAGTCATGGAAATTAGAAGCTATAATTGAATGCATCTTACCTGGAAAAGCAGGGGGCTGTAGCAGTTTAATTAGCTGGTCTAACTTTTCATCAAGTTTCTTGATAGCTTCGCTTGTTGCAAGTCCCTGTCCAATGTACTGGTTGCATACAATTGTTTCACCATCTCCGTTGGTGCGAACTGGAGTCGAGGTGTTTGTAATTTTAGCGCCATTAGCCACGTGCACCATGAGAGCCACAGAGAAAGCAGCACTGGGCCAAAATCGCATTGTGAGAACTAACTTTGTTATGTGCACTAAAACAGTATTCCTTAATGTTGTCTTCAGTAGAATAATACGTGCTGCATAACCTTGTGCGCTTTTATATGAGACGTGTTGGAGCTGAAACGGAAATTGCAATGTGCCGTATAAACATGCGGATGTGATATCCGGCTTGTTCATTTGAGACTCATTTGAGACTGGACGACCCTTTGGGCCTTTATTTTAACGCAAGTCCTTTGGCTGCCGCTACACAGTGGGGATTGGGGAGGGGAGGGGAGGGGGCAGTAAAAAAACGCGAAAGGGAAAAGGGAGAATTACTTTTCTCCGTCCATTCCACCGACCCCTCACTCCCCCTGCACCTGTCAGTCATGCTTTAGAGTCCTATCTTTGAGGCCAGAAGTAATCGCACTGTTTCAATTTTTATAGCTTTTTTTAAAAAACGAATTCAACTTCATGCACTGACTCGCAATTATATTGTAATTAAGGCTGCTGATATCCTAAGTTTTCCACAAAGTTTACTTTATTTACCCATTCCTTCGTCAGCTGAAACTTGGAAAATCGTTACAAAGAAGGTGTGTCAATTTGTTTTCGCTTGAGCTATTTTAAGCGAGAAAAACCCGTATTTTGGAAAACATCTTTTTTGTAAAACAAAGACTGATTACGCGTACAAGCTTCGTGCACAAGACTTCGCAACTAGTAAGAATTTCTCTTTTAGTCAATGCTCTAAGCAAGAGAGTTTTGCTTTTTTTCTCGGGAAAGTTATTTCATAAAAGCAATAGGAACATTTTTCCTGCGTTTGCATATCCTGAAATAAACACTCGAGGGGTTGGGATAATTATATCAGGCAATGCAAACACGGAAAACGTTTTTATTGCTTAATTATGGTACTGTTTAAGTGTGTCAAGGTTCGTGGATGCTAAGAAAGTCTTCTAACCAAATTAAACTTTCCTACGCGGTCGTGCAAGGGTAAAAATTGCCACGAGAGGATGAAGTGCTCTTCCGTTTTGATTAGGTATCATTTATGTATTTAAAAATGGTTAATTAAAACTTATTTGTTTTCCGAGTCGCGCAAAAGAATATTTTCCCGGGAAAGCCATTGTCGATAATTCGAAGTGTTTCTTTTTAACCAAGGTTAAAGTATAGGAAAGAAGAGAAGGAGAAAGTGTTTTCTTTAAAGTTGACGTTAATTAGCCCCGATTACAGTAATGCGTTTTTGTGAATTCTTGTACGTTCTGCCCCAATAAGATCGTGTTTTTCGACACGTTAAAATTCGACAATGCTCTGCTAAAAACGCTCTCCAAAAGTGTCAACGTGGAAACTGCGGGTTGCCTGTCACGTCTCTTTCCTTATAACAGTCGCTAGTTGGTTTTTAAAGAAGTGAACATAAATTTCAAGACCAGGGGCGTAGCCCGTTTCTCGACTAGTTGTAGGCCTGGCTGACTTTCATTTCCACATATCCTGAGAATTGCACGCATAACTAGTACGCACTGACTTTACTAACACTTTGAGCTCTGAAGCTTTTTAACTCACCCCAAGAACGCTTAATTTATTACAAACAAAAGAGTGATCAAACCAAAAAATTTGTAGGCCCAGGCCTTCAGGTCTATGGGTTGGCTACGCCCTTGATTACGTTGATACAAGTTTGGCAAAAAAAACACCTTCAACGCTCCCTGATAGGGCTTGACTAAACCTTTGTTCCATGGTTGATATGGTGAAGTTTTTGTGACCTGAGACGATTGTTCTTTCATCAAAGTGATACAGAAAAGCACATTTATTGAAGAAAGAAACTTTTTTGCCTTTTCAATGAAGTACTTTATATCATGTTATTACAAACCCCTTTTTCTAGTTTCACTTTCATAACCCCAGCCCTTTTTAACGAGAATCAACAGTTTCTTAGTGCATTTGAAGGCTGCTGGCAGGGTAGTCCTGCGTATTACAGCTCTTATTGAACCAAGACGTATCGCATCGCTTTGATGTGCTGGTCGCCATTCTCTCCCCCGTGTTGAGCTTCGTTACCACACGTGTTGGAGTCATCATTGTACCCTCCAGTGCCAAACCCGATTCTGGAGTCACAAGAGCTACAGACATTCTGATCGTTGGCAACGATACCAATTCTTGCTTTAGAGCCGGTGGCATCGGTGCATAGTACGTTGAATCCTTCCTTGTTACAGTAGGGCTGTATAACGAGGCCCGAGAGCCAATGAGATCTTCCATGAGTTTCGGCCCAGTGAAGTAGCTCGGTATTTGCCATCTGCGATCAGTGAATACAGGGATCTGGCTTGATGGTTGATGATAACAGACTTGAACTGCTGACCGATCTTCATTCCAAGACAGTGTGTTCCAATAAGTCGGTAACTTGGTCTCGTGAGTGTCCAACCCAGCCTTCCCTCCTAGAAGATTGACTGAGTCGACTTTGTTGCTCCACAGTTGAGAAGTGTAATGAAATGTTGTCTGGAAAAAAAAAGTTAACTCTTTTATATAGAGTACTGTCACTTTGCTGTTTTATCTGTTTAAGAAATATGATACAATCTCGCCTTGGTGTTCACTGGTCTTGTTGCGAAGTCCTCACATATTATTCTCTTCATACTTTGTCTGTTACTACTTACAGTGAATTAAGCTAAAACTTTTCAAACCTAAACGTAATAGATTCCCTTTCTTTCATTTGACGTGGACCGTGACTTACATTGTAAGTTTACCTTTATATTGGGAATTAGGTTATGACAAACGTTGGAACTTGTGAGAACATTTAACTTTTAATACCTTTGTGCCATCGATCTTCATGACCAGCGTCCATCCACCTCCTCCGCATGCATCAAGCCCATGCTTGGTCATGTGACAGTATACAGGAATTTTTGCAGATCCAACATCAAGCAAATACGCTTTATTTTCACTGGACCTGTTAAAACGTACCACTTTACTGATTACTCCCAGCTTGTTTCTCTTAAAGTTAGGACACCATGGAAATTTAGAATTCTCGTAAAAGAAATCTTTCTTATCAGATAAGCGATGTTTGGTCGAAATCGAGTAATCTTATAAAATATCGTGGAGCGTTGTTATTACTGACTTTGTCGATAAGGAGGATTCTGTTTTACCGCCATATATATGAAAACTGCTCAGTCCTCTTAAGTTAGTGACTCATAAACTATCCTTAGTTTGAGCATTTCGTAAATTGTCTGAGTTTTCTTTTTCAATTTATTTTCAATTGTTTTTTTCTTAATATTTTCTTACCATTTTCTTATCGGTATTTTAGTTAGTTGTAACCATTAATGCATCAATTTTCACTTTTATTTTCTAAAATACTGAAGAAATTAAATTTACAAGCAATTCTCTCTGTTTTTCGTGTGTAAACTTAAACACTAGTCTCTTAAATATCTACCCTAAATTTCAAGATTTAGTGTTGAGGGCTTTTAGTGCTGCAATGTTCGCTTACATCATGACTTATTTCGTTTTCAACTTAGTGGCCGGTTGAAATGAAGGAACATTACTGAAATCCAAATAGTAATTTTCCATAGTATTGAAGCATTCTCTAGATTTCCTCGACCTTAGCTAGCTACATAAATTTACGTACTCAGTTTACTCTGTAACCAGTTCGTTTTTCTGTACTGAAATACTTTTTGTTATCACTGGGTTTAGACCTTGTGCTGTTGAGTCAAAAACAAATGTGCATTCTTGGTCCTTTAGTTCTTGAGCTTATCTTAAACACTTAATTCGACACGTTATATTTCACCTGGTATTCGTTTTTGGATTATTTAACATTCAATTTAACGCTTATAGAGTTTCTTTTTGCGTTAATTTGTTGACAAGTTGGAAACGATTGGAGTTAACTTACGTGTAATAAAAATGAAATCAATTAGGGTATCCTTTGTCTCATATACTTACAAGTTCTTGGTATAGATTCCCTTGCACGTTGAGGCTGTGGGACCGAAAATAAAAGGATATAAAGCGTGTTATTTGTAAAAAGAAGACTTTCCACACCATTCTGTAAGAAACACTTTGAGATACGAGATATTTTTCATGGTTTGTAATTAGGTTAATCACTCCTGAAGTATCGAACTATTTAATAATAATTCATCACAAAACTCTGCTTAAAGAGTTTCTTACTAGTCATAAGAGAAGGCTGTAGCATTTCAATTATCTGATCCAGTTTTTTGTCGATTTTCTTGATTGCTTGATTTGTTTTAGAGTTATGTCCGTTGTACTGGTTGCAGACAAATGATTTGCCATCGGTACTTTTCGTTCCATTCGTTGCGTTTGCCGTGAGCAACAGAGAAAAAGCTAAAATGAACCAAGATCTCATCTTTCGATTTAAGTTAGCTGTGTTGAAGCGTTTGTTATCGAGTAAACTACAATATTTTGTAATGTTCCTTGAACCGGAATACTTGTACTCCACAATGCTGAGTCTCTTTTTTTAGCTTAGTTTTGACTCGTATTAAAGACAAGAAAATTTTCCAGTCGAAATATTAATTAATTAATTACCTGGTTCATCATACTCTGTTTAAAATGACGGCGGTGAAATCTCACCCGTAAGTGCTAGCAGTTTGAACGCTAAATTTGCAGTAATGTTCAATGAAAGCTCTCAAATTCTTTGGGAGTAACTTATAAAAGTAGACGAAAATAGTGCTTGAAGGCACACACCGTGTTTCTGTATAAATTTTGTCTGTAGCAGACGGCTGTTTATAGCCGTGCCTCAGTTTCTTTACGTATAAAGACAAAGCAGAAAATTCATAGAATGATAAATGACTTAAAGCATTGGAAATACGGAAGTTAAGGGTCTCAACCGTTTACAGCTTAAATCGTGAATTAGTTTGAAATCTTTCCCTCATTTAGACAAGTCTTCATTTAGACAAGTTTTTTTGATGTAATTGAGTTTCACTACATGGATAACTGGCTAAGGATACATCAGACATTTGTGTGCGGGAGCAGAGTAGGGAGAAACTCTTCTTTTCCCCCGAGCCCCGGTCTCCCCGAGAGATTGCTCGCGTGACTTCTGGAGCCAGAATAACCAAGAAAGTGATCGATTCAATGTTGCGTAACTCTCTGTGGGAATTAACGCGTTTTTTCGTACGTTTTTAATCGTTTAAACAAAGAGTGAATAGATTTGCTTAGAAATAGTTTCTCCTGTTACTGGTTTATGTGGAGGAAAGAGATAGTCCATGTTGCGACTAAGTAACCTTTAGAGGTTGTGCTTCTTATTTATGCATTTGATTTAATCTTTTTTCTGACACCATTAGTGCAGTTGTCATGCAGTTGTTTTGCTGATAATTGAAATTTACCATTTAAACATTACCCATAATACACCTCGCTGTACGCCCTCAAAGTTTTGCATAGGTATTGTCTTCTATCTCCTTTGGGACGTCCGTTATACCCAGGAAAAATTAGAAACAACGGCTAATATGCAAAACTTTGTAGACTGAAAGGGGGTAAGGAAGGTGTTTAAAGGCCAATACAAAAGTGTTCACCTTGACCAATTTTATATAGTCCAGTAGACTATGCGTACCGGTTTAGAGATTTAATTTGGCACTTTTACTCGCAGTTATGCAAAGAATAGCTTCCCGAGGCTGTCACAGTGAATTCGTTTCTTATTTGCTGTTGACTTGTTCGGCATTTTCCCACTACTAAACTTTGTCCGTGTAACAGGGCCTTTTGAACTATGAAAAGAAAACCAAAAAACCAACAGCAAGTACTAACACTACATTTGATAGCAATTGCGCTCAAGCGTGATTTATTTGTAGCCTTTTCAAATGGTTAATGACAGTAAGCATGAAAACTTGTGTGAGATTATTTATAATGGTCTGTCCAAAGAGGCATTTTCCTTGTAAAATTGGATGTGTAAAAACTGCATTTATGAATCTGTCTTTTTAGTATAAAGCAACTTATGAGATCAGAAGTTGACTAAGCTGAGGGAATGTTAATTTTTGCCACTGTTGCTTTTTGCGATTGTGACTGAGCTTAAACTCGCGCTAAGCATTTTTTGCCCTCTGAAGTAACAATGTGGTGCTGCTGGTGATTTGCCACATGTGCAACGAGTTTAACATTAGAGGGATTTAGAGTTTAAGGCAAACGGCAAACGTCAGATTCAAGTTGACAAATTCTCAAAATAGGGGATAAGCAGATTTAAACACCCTTAAACAATTCTCAATGATAAACTGGCGTGAATTTACTGAATTTTTTTGTAATTATAATGAATAGTAAACGAAACTTATAGGAAAACATTGGTCAGTTGGTGCAAATTCATGTTTTTATGTTTTCAACGTGTTTCAAACATTTCACTTTTTTTGAACGGGACATTGAAAACTAAGGTTATTCAGGAATACGAACATGAAAGTCATGCATACAATTTTTTGTGGATATATTTTGTTAAACAGCCCAAAACTGCTAGGTATACCACTGCTCTGGGAAACTAATGGTGTTGTCTTGACGATAGTGTAATTGATGAGAAGGAAAAGGTATAGTGACGTCACTCAGTTGCGTTTGAGAACAGTGAAATAATTCAAACAGAAAATAGACCCTGAGCAGTCGTTCTTCTCTCCCAAGATCCACGCGCTTCGAGCGAAAAGGTGACATTATGCAAATCATGTTTTAAAAAAAGGAGAAGAAATTGGAGCAGAGCTTGGGCCGAGAGAGTCCTTTTTCATCCTGGCACGGGCTTCCGTCCTCGTTCCTCGCTGCTTCGCCGCTTACCTCTGCTCTCGATCTGCTGTGACTCAAAAAATAATAATAATAAATAACAATAATAAGACACAGTTCCCAGGCTAAGAAAAAGGTACGCACGCGAGTTTTCGTGAGCTGAGACGATACTTGTTTACTCAAAGTGATACAGAGACTAAAACATATTAAAAAAAGAAACTTTTTGGCCTTTTCAATGCAGGGTTTTATTTTATATCATCTTTACAAATCCCTTATCCTAGATTCAATTTTTAACCGCTTTTTTTACTAGAATAAACAATTTCTTAGTTGCATTTTAAGGCCGTTCGTTCTGCGTACTGCAGAACTTATTGAACCAAGATGTATCCCATAGCTTTGATATGCTGGTCGCCATTATCTGGCCGGGCTATAGCTTCGTTGCCACACGTGTTGGAGTCATCACCGTACCCTCCAGTGCCGAACCCGATTCTGGAGTCGCAGCTGTTACAATCATTTTGCTCGTTACTGATGATACCAATTCTCGCTTTGCTGTGTTTAGTATCGGCACCTATGGCATTGAATCCCTCTTTGTTACAGTTGGGTTGTAACGAGGCCCGAGAGCCAATGAGCTTCTTCCACGTGTTACGGCCCAGTGAAGTAGCTCGGTATTTGCCATCTGCGATCAGTGAATACAGGGATCTGGCTTGATGGTTGATGACAACAGAGGAGAACTGGGAACCAGCCCTCATTCCAAGACAGATCTTGTTAAACGGTGTGTTCCAATAAGTCGGTAACTTGGTCTCGTGAGTGTCCAACCCAGTCTTCCCTCCCGGAAGATTGAAGTCGGCTTTGTTGCTCCAGAGATGGGAATTGAAGTGAAAGGTTTTCTGGGTGCATTTGAAAAAGAAAAACACCATTTATATAAATTACTATCCCTTTGCTGTTTTATCTATTCGACACATATGGTACAGTCACATCTTGGTGTTTACTTAGCCTGCGTAGCAGGCGTCGAAAGGGGTAGGGGGTAGGGGATAGGAAGGAAGGGAAAAAGGGGAGGGGGATTGGGGAGAGGGGGAGGAGACGCCTGCTCTAAGAACCCCCTTTTGTTCATATCTGCGGACGCTGGCGTCCGCAAATTCCTGATTGGCTGAGCCGTAATGAGTAACATATTGAAATGCGTGTTTCACAAATCAACAAACAGTCGAGATGGCAGCGGTAGACGTGGATGTCGTAGAGAGTGCTTTGAGAGATGTGAATTTATCTGGTGGTAGAGAAACTGTTTTAAAACTAGAGCAAGAATCAGCAGTAAGGGCTCTTTTAGCCGACAGAGATGTTCTGGCGGTTTTGCGGACCGGATACGGCAAGAGTTTAATTTACCAAATGTTCGTACGCGCGAAGAACTACGAGCTAAATGGTAATGCGGCGATTCTCGTCATTTCATTTCGCCACTGAAAAGTATTATCGAAGACCAGTTGCAGGAGATGAAATTGTTGGGCTACCCAGCGAAAGATTTAGCCAATTTATCGAACGATGACATTCGCCGATGTAACTTAGCAATAAAAGAGGGTGGTTTTACCACATGCCAAAATGTTGCTTATTCCAATAAAGTAAAAGTTGTTTTTATCTGCTGGGTAGATTATGCTCTTGAAGGTTCTGCATTTATACTGAGCAAATATTATTTTAGCCGCATGTTTCACACTGAGAGGTCATGACATACATATCGATTGACTGTAGTTATTGTTTTCTGGTCGGCAGGATTTGCCCCTGATGCAAGCGCAATTTCTTTGACCTCTTTTGAAGCGTAAAGCTTTTTTTATTACGGCTGAATAAGGGTTCCAATTTTCTCCAAAGTGCCTTCTGGATCTGAATAACTAAGCGAATTTCTTTAGTCCGTGGATGTAATGTTTTTCTGCAATGGCGAGTGTAGGACACTTGATTGACAGTAAGCGTAATCGGATTACTAGAAAATTGGTAGGCGTTATGCAAAAACATAGGCTCTTAGAGCAGGCGCTCCCTTCCCTTTTCCCTTTCTCCCTCCCCCCCCTTCCCCTCCCCTTTTTGCGCCTGCCACGCAGGCTATGTTTACTAATCTTTTCCTCAGATATTATTCTCTTATTACCCTGTCTGGTACTATTACAGTGAATTGATACATCATTGAGCTGACACTTTTCAAACCTACACGTGCTACATTTTCTTTTTTCTACTTGCGTTTGACACTTGACTTGCACTGAAAGTCTACCCTCAGTGTATAGTGGCAGTTAGGTGGTAAGAGACCGAGCAACTTGTAGTGAATGGTTCTCTGATTAAACTAATTAAGAAGAACATCATGTCAGTTATTCTGATAACGTACTATCGCTTTTCTCCGTTATAATTTGACAAATATAATATCAGTATCTTGGTCTTCACTGAATTGATAAATCATCGTGCTAACAGTTATCAAACGTACACTTACTAGATCCACTATTACCCTGTATGTTGACCTTAATAATAGTCTGAATTTAAGTGGCAGACAAACATAGCTGCTTGTGATAACATTGAACTTTTAATACCTTCGAGCCATCGATCTTCATTACCAGCGTCCATCCTCCTCCTCCGCATGCGTCAAGCATATGCTTAGTCATGTGACAATATACGGGAAGCTTTGCAGACCCAACGTTCAGGAGGTACTCTTTATTTCCCTTAGACCTGGGGGAAAAAATAAAACTTCATTGGTTCACCTCATTTTGAAGTAATTGCCTCATCTGGGGTTATAGAAAGGCTGTCTTAGAAAGGACCCCAACGAAATTGAGGAAAAAGTCTTTCATATCAAGTGGACAACCTAAGTGGAAATCTAAGAATATCGAGTGACGCTGTAATTGCTGACTTTGTCGATAAGCAGAACTCTTCTTTAGCGTCTCAATTTTTTCCCCTTGTTTATATTGTCACCAGTCTTGGGCGTTGCTCCTAATTAAATGGTAAATTACTCAATCCCATTAAGTTAGTGATTCATATACTGTCCTTCACCTTGAGCGTTTTGTTAATGGTCAGTGCTTTCTTTTTTCCTGAATTTTTTTTCTCACAAAAGAGGTGATCGTTATTTGAGTTTATTTTACCATTTCTGGACCAATGTTTGCTTTTTGTACTCTACAATCATTCTTACTGTACGTAAAGATTGTGTTTTTATGATTTTCAAAACCCTGATTTTGTTCACATAATTTAGCTTACATTCTTTTCAACTATGTGGTTTCAAAATGAAGGAGCATAAAACCGAAAAAGTATAATTTTTGCAGTTTTGATGCATTCGTTACACACTTCCTTTCTTTTCTACATTAATTTACGGTTATTTTGCCCAGAAACTTTCGTTTTTGTGTAACCGATTTTCGTCACCATTTAGTGATATAAACCTTGTGCAGATGAGTCCAAACATGTTTGGATCCTTTGTCCTTTGTGTGTCTGAATTCTCTTCGTTCTTTTCAATAACGCAACACTGAGTACACGTCATCTTTTACTCTTGTCTATAGGCAGCTTCTGGGTTGTGAGTGGAAGCCGATTTTGGCGATACTTTTTCCTGGCCTAACTCGGCTGTTTTTGCTACGAAAATGATGTGTATTAGTGTATCTTTAGCCTTCTTTACTTACAGGTTCTTGTCATAAATCTCCTTGCACGTTGAAGCTGTTGAGAATAAGAAAATGATATTAGCCATATCGTACAGGAAACTTTCAAACTGAAGCCAATTTGTGCTGTTGATTCAAGACTCGTGTACGGTACAGAAGACGACAAATAGAGCCCTCTCTCAATAATACCGTGATTACTAAGTTTTACTTCATTTTTCGCATTTTCGGCTAGTTCCGCGGTAAATTGTTTGTGTCTTACTACAGTTTTAAGAAGGGAAACATTAAGAACAAGAAAAAAAATTTCTTTGTGTTTTTTGTGAAGTTGAGTTATGTTACATTACATTTCATTTTAATGGTGTTATTAGTTTAATCACATCAGTGTGTTAGAACGGAATATAAAAATTCTTAAATTACCTGCATACGGAGAAGGCTGTAGCAGTTTTATTAGCTGATCGAGCTTTTCATCGAGTTTCTTGATAGCATCGCTAGTTACAGCGCCCTGTCCAATGTACTGATTGCATACAACTGGCTCACAATGCCCTTTTTTTGTTCTTAGTCCCATTCGCCGCGCATTCCGCGAAAATCACAAGGAAGGCTACGAAAAGCAAGCTCATTGCGGTAGCCTGGCAAATTGGTGAAGTGCAATATTTCTCCAAAATGTTCTTGAACAGAATGATTCATGCTGTAAGAGGATGTCTAAATTTATGGACCTGAGATTTGGCTTGTAGGGAGACAAGAACATTTTCCAGTCGGATTATTAAGTCAATAGTTGCCATTTAGGTCATTTAAGGCATTTTTGCCGGAGAAAACTTATGTGGTGCTTTGTAAAATACAGTTAAAAATTTTGTGGAAAGAAAAATGTAAAAACATTTAGTAGAAACTAGAGTGCGCCAACGGAACGCCGTTTATCGCGTCTTTTGCTGATTATTTCAGACCTGCTGTTAAATTTTGCTTTAAAATATTAGCGGCATGATCAAAGGCGAGTAAGTAAATTTTCGTGAATAATTACAGAGCTTGAAGTTTATTGCTAGTTGTTCAACGGAAAAATCGACGACAAAAAGTAGAAACTCTTACATTGAAACAGCAGGAATTGTATTCACTGCGTAATACTATGAACATAATTCTGAAAATATACTAAAAGGCTATAATTATAGTTATCTGCATTTATTATTTGCAACCTTTGAGGTGTTATTGTTCCTACGGCAGTTGAGATCTCGACTCTTTACTTTCGTAACTACAACGTCATTCTTCCTCAACTACTTTTCTTCCCAAGTTTTCTAGCCTTTGCAAATGTCTTAGTTACTCTTCAGCCATCTCTTCAAAGTACCAACCCTGGGTATGATATCTTGTCTAGCTTTGTCTTGAAAGATTCTCCTGTGTCGTGAGACTTAAAAGGGACACTGACAATGAAGAACTCAACCGAAATGACATTCCATGATAACACGTGGCGAGACAAAATACTGTTTATTTTTTAGGGTATTTGCATTTTACTTTTTCACAGTGTAAACCTTGAACGTTTTGAGGCCTTGAGCTTAAGGTTGGACGTTTAATCAGTTTAGTACTGACTGTACTTAGTACTTATCATGCTTTATTTTTCAGAAAACTTCAACTTTATTTTACAGTGGAACCTCGTTATAACGAAGGACCAAGGGATAGACAAAAAATGTTCGCCTTAACGCGGTTTCTTTATATCAAGGTTCTTTTTCATATATTTTACTATTTCTGGGTAAGAAAACTCGTTCGTTAAGCGGAGGACTTCGTAATATACGTGTTCGACTGTAGAAGTACTTTATCAACGTGTCGAAACCCTATTTGGCCGATTCCTTCCCCTGTTGTGTGACAAAACAACGTAATATAGATGTTCGACTGTAGAAGTATTTTATCAACGTGTGGAAACCCTATTTGGCCGATTCCTTCCCCTGTTGTGTGACAAAACAAAAGTCAATTTTCAGCTGAAGCTTTTTTTAAATCTTTTTTTATGTTTATTTTCAAGCTTAATCAGTAGTTACGCTGAAAGAAGCACATACACTTAGTCCTTCGGGCTCAAGAAATTGTAAGACGTCCTTTAAAAGCTAAGAATTTGCTGTGTTTGCCTCAGACAGGGCGAAACGTTTTTATAATCGGAAGTAAGTTATTGTAGTAAAGTTAGACCTAAATGGCTTGAAATTGTATTGTAAATAAAGAAGTTGATTTTGCGAGTTGAATATTCTAATCATGAATAAATTTGAAATTAGTTTATGCTATCAGACACCTTTGATAAAGAGGTAAAACTTTTCTTCTTTCTTTGTGTATTAAAACTTTGTTTGAACTGAAAATATCGCTTTTTTCTCTTCAAGTTTCATAAAGAAGAATGGAGGGAAAGAACAAAGAAAACGAACAGCACGTTCCATTGCTTTTGTTTTTGAACAAAATTGTTTTGATTGCGTTTGATATATTTTAACTTGTTTCGACCATTTCTTGTTTATGAAAGGTTGATTAGAGATCTGAATAGTTAAAATCGATGTGAGTATATATATTTGTTGTCGGTATATTTTCTAGAGGAGCACAAATTGCGTGATGTTCAGTTTTTAGACGAACCACAATTCAGTAGACGATAGTATAAATATAACAACCTACGTGTACATTGAGAATGAACACTATCACGTTGCTTTTTCGAGTGGCGCACAGAAATTTACAGTCAGTTCCCTCCAAGGAGGACACCTTTGCGACCGGCACCATGTGTCCGTCTAACAGTAATGTCCGTCTTATAGAAAGTCAAATAAAAGGAGTAAAGAAAGGCAGAGACCAACTCTAGCTGTCCGTTCTACTGACGTGTTCGTCTTATAGAGGTGTAGTCGACCGTGAAATTAATCGAGCATGAATACCGTCTGTAAGAGAAGGAGCAAGTGTAATTTGTCGGTTACAAGTTACCAAATCCCTGTCTGTCCCTGTATTCGTGCGCATTCATTTCGTTACATTTTGTCGTTACGTTCGATTAAAAATTGTGGGCAGTTTCCCAGAAACTATAATAATCCGAAAATATGAGCTCAAACTCAAAGCAGTAATTTGTATTCAGGTACATCTTACTTGTTTTGGAAGGTAAATAAAGGAGCGAGGTTTGTTTATGATTGTTCTTTGAAGACAATTCTTTTTGAGAATGGCTCTTAAAATTTTGAATTCGACCCGTTTGATTTTCAATCTGTTTAGTTTTGTGTGAACAAGAAGGTACTCCACACTTGACAAGACACAAGTGGTTTACCTTATAAAGTGGTATTTTAATAACCAGTAAAACAGATATTATTCTTTATTGTGCTTTCAAGAAGTGCTTCGCTCTTATACAACAACTTCGATCTTACAACATAAAGAAGTAAAATAAGTTACCTTTGATTCATGTTTCACAGTTTTTATGGACTGAAGACTTGTTTCAGTTCAGCACCCCCCAATTTTTGATAGCCTCTTTTCTTTTCTGGAGATGCCGAAGTTGATTTGTATGCTTCTTCATCTCATAACACGATTTCGGAACCCATTAAACTGATGGCTTTCCGGCTTGAGGTTTTTGTTCTGAATCGTTCGTTAACCCTAGCTTTGCCGCGAAGAAGAATGGAAAGTTTTCAGCGCAAAACTTGCTTTCCGTAAGTCTTCAACAACTAAAACCATGTTAAGGTAGAAAGCAAATGCATGATGTGGAAAACCTTTGCTATAAACTTGGTCTGATGACCATTATACTTCAAAGCAATCCTCTCTAGCTTGCAAGTTCTCCAGTGTATTTCGTGTCTTTTCTCACAACAGCGACAATATCATACTTTACTACCCCTCCCATGAGGTAAACCCTCGTTGGCTCCCCTATTTTGGGAGCCACGTTACCAGCTACCACCAGGGTTATTTCTCGAGACAAGGGAGAGAACCCTGGGAACGAAGTTGATCTGATCGCTGAGCGCCTGTATTGCATTCGGCGCCAATTCTCGCTATTTGAAAGCCTGCAACAGGCGAGCATTCAGCTACATTAAAAACCAGCGAGTAAAAACCTGGCTTTTAAGATCCTGTCGGGCTAAAATTTGAGACAGGTTCTTATTTTCTAAAATCTAAAAAAAAAATTACATACACTTTAACAAATAAGATTAGTCAACCTTCATTTCTACATAAATACTAATTTGGTATGTAGATTTTATATAAGGAATAAGCTGAATTCCACCAAATACTCTCATCTATAATGTATTGTTTTCTTCAGAAAATTTTTAACCTGCTTTAGAACTTTTGAACTTTACTAAATAGCCTAAATTTTTTGCTAATTCTAGTACTATTTATGTAAAACCCAGTGCAAACGGACGCGACATTGTTGGCCAACAACTCCCAACATTGTTGGAGGTCATATATTGCGTCCGTTTGCACACTCTGTTGCATGTTGTTGGATGTTGTAGCGCAAAGTTTGGGCCAACAAAGTTGGGAGTTGTTGCATCCGTTTGCACGTAGCTTAAGAACCTCTTTATGCTAACTTGGAACAGGAGCCCATATGGGCTCCTGCTTGGAAAAAATGCAGGTTCTTACTCGCAGGTTTTTACTGAATCTGTTTTTCAGTCAGTGATTTTTTGAAAGATAAATTAAGAATTTTTGTTTACTTTGGGCACACTTAGAGCTGCGATTGTTGATAGGTTTGCTTTTGTATCTTTCAGGCTGTCTATCAAGAATTGTGTAAAGATTACAAGGTTGAGATGCCTCAAAGTAAACCGCTATCACCAGGAGAGATTCTGGGATGCACTGCTCCAAAGATAAAGGACAAAGATGCATTTGTGTAAGATATGATGTTAATACCTGCTGTGTTGAACTATGTAGTGAAAGTAGTCAAAGTATGATGACATTTTCGTTTTGGTTTGCTAGTAGTTTAGCAATGAATTGTTTTTATCGATAGTTATTGTACATGTCCAGTTAGTGAAATATCAGATTCAAGAAGGTCTCTTTTAAAAGTACATTCCATTTGACCGTGTGCCGTGTCAGTTAAAGATCTGGTTGGTAACCTTTAAAACAGGGGTTAGTTTAATAAAGCTTTTACAAATGTAATTTACAAGTGCAGCTATTGTTTTCAGACTCTAAAAAAATAGCTACACTTGTAAATTACACTTGTATAAAATTGACCCCTGCAGGCAAATGACCCCTGAAAGTGAATGCACTTGTATGCAGATTGCAGACATCGATAAGATATCTATAAAGAATTTTACTTCAAATGTTAATTTTTACATTTAATTCCTGTAGTTATCTTGGAGACGGGAGGTTTCATTTAGAAGCTGTGATGATTGCTAACCCATCCGTGCCAGCCTACAGGTTGGTAGTGGCAGTATACATATCTTTACAGTGTAAGATAATACACAGTGGACACAAATAGAGACAAAGTCCCACCATGCATCAGATCCTTTACAGTAGCAAATGTAACGTAGCCCATCGGATTAGTTGGCTAAAATGACAAAAGTTTTCTCCTGGCTAGTTTTAGAACGATTTTGGTATGACCTTGAAAAATGGTGTTCGTTATTTGCTTTACCAGCCAATTGATGATAAGATCAAAACACGGACTCTTCATTTTCCCGCCAAAAAACCCTAATATGGAGATTGTCCAATCGTGTTGCGGTATGAAGTCAACGAGAAGTATCCATTGATATCTAGAAAATTCTCGGGCATTCATTCTAGGGTCATACGAAAATCGCTCTATCGCTCGCTGGCAGTTGAAAATGAGGATCCCCAGTGGGTTTTTCAGGATACTGGATTTGCCTTATTTGAAGTCTGTTATCCGGGATTTTAAAGCAAAATAGGGCGAGATTCTGGAATGAAAGTATGCACGGGATGTGGGATGCGGAGAATAACCATCAGGATTACGGGATTGAGCAGAAATTTGGGTTGGGATGACGGGATTAAGCGGAAATTTGGCCGGTCGAGATTACAGGATTGAGCGGAAATTTGGGTGAAGATGACGGGACTGGATAAGCCTATTAGAGACCTTTGATAATGTGGGTGGAGACATTTTGGTCAACAGACCTTTCGGGCATTGCGTTGAAGGGGTGTATGGACAATGTTACACAATATACAAGGCGAAGCCCCGTTTCGACTTACTGCTTTTTTCCGGTTCACCTGCGTGAAAGGTCTATTACACAACATACAAATTCCAAACAGCAATCACTCTGTCATGAAAGATATTGTTCATCATAGTATGTGAATGAAGGGTTTTCTTTATCGTTGGTCTCACGATAGTCGGATCAAAACCCGCCAACCATGAGTGAGGTTCGTGATACACCAATCACTAGCAACCGTGGTGGTACTAATAGTCCCACTCACTATTCGCCTGATGAAGACCTGCAGTACGCGGTCGAAACGTCTTGATCAATACCTAAGTGACTATCGTGCTTCAAAAGATAAGCAAAGCGTGCTAAACAATTGTTCTGTGAGAACATTATTTAATTTTTTGGATTGGAGGAGGCGTACTGATTAGTGGGGGTGCTAATTTAAAGGGGCTTTAATTCGGGCATTTAAGGTATTAAATGAGCTAAATTAAACCGATAACAAATTTAAACTACAATCCCTTTCATTTATTTTTCGTTGAATTATTTACTTATTTATCCACTTATTCATATTTCCCTCTATTTCAGATACGATCCCTACAGTAAAATATTTTCCCGTGAATATTATGACATCGATGCCATGTTCAATGCAAGGAGAGACGCGATAAATGCTGCGTCCAAAGCCAGGAAATTTGGCCTCATTCTCAGCACCTTAGGAAGGCAAGGGAGTCCTAAGGTCTTGGAGGTAACTAGAGAAATTGTAAAAGTTTAGTACAATCTCTGAAGAACAAGTCAAATACCGTAAAGTCCTTTTTTCGATCACCACGTCTCAGAATGAAATGATAGTAGCGTTTACTACGATCATTTTTCTGTTACGATCCCCGGGGTACTCCTCTATAATTTTTTTTTTATATGTAGGTATGTGCCACTGTCGACCAGGGTGTTTATTAAACATCGGGGATCGGAGAATTCTCCGTTTACTAGGCTTAATTCTTCGGCTAACGTTTGGTATAGTATATGACTTATTTTTATTCAGATGTCGAGCCTTTTTCAAAATATTCTACTGTAATGTTACACCTTTCTCCTGCTACTAGAATTCTTAACAAAACCCCTGCTCGAAGGTATGGGTTTTGAAGTCGTTTTTTTAGTCGTTTTGGTCCAAAAATGATGGGTATATGTTTTGCCCATTATGGTCTGAAATCATGAATCGTTTTCAAGGAAACCACGAGAGCCTTTAAACGTGTTTGTCTTTTAAGCTCCAAAAGAATAAGAGAGATCAGTGTCAAATACTTTTAAGTGACAAAAATATTTCATTTGAATAAGAGAAACCAGTTGTTAAACGGTAGTAACTTTAACCTCCGTACTAATCGTCCTCGGCTAGTTCGAATGTGTCGTCGCCTTGTCGTTGCCCGTCAAGCATGGCGGGAGTATCGCCCTAAGTTCCAAGCCTCCTGTGCTCACTCGGACAGCGCGAATTGGCCTTCTGAATTTTTGTCGTGGTTAATAACTAAAGAAGATAAATGTTATTTGCTTTTACTTACTTAAATTTACAGAATTTGGAGCAAATGTTTAAGAAGGCTGGACTTGAATATGTGGTGGTTTTGATGTCTGAAATTTTCCCAGACAAACTGCGATTGTTTGAAGATGTTGATGCGTAAGTTGAAATCCTTGTTCTTTTGGCCTCTAACTGAACATCTTCTTGAAGATTACAAGAAAAATGGTCTAATTTATGTGATTCTTGCCGTTATATTTTTAGATTCCGTTTACATGGAAGGGTAACTGTCATGTAAGGACGTGTGAAAAGTTAGCTCTCCTTTTCGTAAAGAGGGTTAGCCAGAGGGCCATCTTGCCCCTAAAATATTTTAAGACGGAATCCACCAGGAAATTAAGTAATGTTAATTTTCAGTGGACAAAGACCTTGTACCAGAATAATTTAAACAATATTGCATAATTTTTTACATTTTTCAACGGCTATAACACCAAAGAAAATTTCTTATGAGAACTCGAGAAAATAAATGTCAAATTTCACAAAATGACATCTTACACATGAAATCTTCAGAATTTTACCTGTGTTTTCACAATTCTTGTGAAATTTGGCCTTCAATTTCCTGGTGGATCCCGTCTTAATTTAAATTTGACCAATCCGTGATCAATCTACACAAGCCTGCAAGCTAAGCTTCCAATCCTACCTCACCACTTAGTAGCCTTCTAAAAGGGAGAACACCCTAGCAAACAGATAAGATAACCCCTTCCCCTCCAGGGTAGCTTACCTTCCATGTAAGCTAGACTTTGAAACAGTAGGAGAGGGTCACAGCCTTCAACATCAACGGGGTCTTGAAATTAAAATTGGCTTCTTTACCAGTGATTTGTTTTATTTATTCACTTTCATTTATTCTCAGCCCTCCGTTTGCTGGAATGTTTATTGAATGGAAGCACTAAATATGTATGTGTCAGAGCAGAGGGCGAGGGGATGGGGCAAGAGCTCGCCCATACTCTTCCCCTCTCCCGTAGCGCTTGTTTTGCTCTACTTTTCTCAAGTTTCCACAGAGGAAATAGAGAGCCTATGGACAGTCTAGAAACGGAATAAGCGTTAAAATCTTTCAGGAGACGTGACATGTAATAAAATGTACTAAATAATAGCACACGAAGGATACGCTTTATTGCATGCAAGTTCGGTGGTTGTGTTTTATTCTCACAAACATGTGTCATTTTTCAGGTGGGTCCAAGTTGCCTGTCCAAGATTATCGATTGATTGGGGATATGCGTTTCCTAAACCTCTTCTTTCTCCTTACGAGGTACGTATCCTGCTCTTTTATCCCCCCAAAAATTAAGTTATGAAGGACTTCCTGCTGTCAAATACTTGCCATATATGGTATTGTTAAGGGAGATCACCCGCCCCGTTCCTGTTCCCTCGCTCTTACTCCTACTTGTCTACTTGTCCCTTCTCGGCAGGGATGAACAGGAGAGACCCTAGGAACGAGGATGGATGGTCACGTGGTAATTATGATTTCAACGTATGTTCGAGTTAGCTTGCGTAGCAAGCAATTCCGTTTGGTTTCGGAGCAAAGAAAGAGCGAGGAACGGGATTTTCGGTTTTGGTCGAGCGAGAAATGAAACGAGAGCCAAAAAATGAAAGAGGGGGGAGGTTTCCTTCCTCTCCTCCCCACCCTCTCCCCGCTTACTCGCGCCGCATTAAAGCACACAACCCAGCAGCAACCCAGCAGCCAGCCTGTAATAAAGCCACCTCTCAGTGCTGCCTTTCGCTGAAACGTTTCGTGGTCGTATCAGCGGGTTTTGCCACATTTTTCACTTCAAATTACGTATCAAAATGTTTCAACGGTTTCGATCGCCGCCGAAAAATTCGTTTGTATGTAGACAAAAGGAAAACTGGACAAGAACACTGAGAAGATTCGCTCTGACGAAGAGCCAACGCCCGAAACGTGAGCTTTTCAATCTGTTTATGGTGGTAAATTGTATGAATCAGTCCATGGAGTTGATAAAACTTCTTAGTTGCCACTTTACAAACGAGAAGAGGACTGGAGCCGAAATGTATCCCGCAATTGTTTCTGGCATCGTTACCGGTGAGGCACCGGTCAGTTTTCCCTATTAACAGTCCCAAAAGTCTTTGCGCAAGTTAACTCGGCCCAGTCTCCTTCTAAAGTGGCGAATTTTCACTTTGATTTCACAGGCGTCAGTTGTATTGCAACAGATTGAATGGCAAAATGATTACCCAATGGACTTTTACGCGAATGCAAGTCTTGGATCGTGGACTGTGAATAACGAAGTCAACAGACAAGCTACTGTTAGTAGGAGAAGGAAACATTTACAAACTGAAAAACTGACTTCTGAAGAAAAAGGAGCAAACGTTGAGAGCAAGGACGACTGCGGTGGAGAACACGGCGATTGTTGTGGTAAATGTCATCAAGAAAATTCACAGAAGTTAAACAAAACGGAGAAAATACATCAGTAGTAATTGTAACCAGTGGAATTTTTGTTGAAAAACGCTAGCGGTGCCTGGCTAAAAAGCGATTTCAATTCAGTGTTGCAGTGCAAAACAAATTTGCAGTGAGTAATCTAGCCAGTTGTTGCAATAGGTGGTTGAGGATAATGAAAGCCTGGAACTCGTATTAATCTCTTTTTTCCCGTGCCTCTACCGTCTCGCGTCTTCATTCATGCGTGTGGTCATTTTTGGCGTGTCTCGCGCGTTTCGCTCGACGGACTAAAAAGAGAGAGACTGCTCGTAGCCGGGAACAAGGCCTTGGTGGTAATGCACAGCCGTGCAAAACTGGCTCGTATCGCTCTTACCCCTCGGGGCGGGAAGGGGGGTGGCTTTTATCTCTTTCATACGTAAACGAAAGAAGCGCAGTCGGAAAAATATCGACGGTCTTTCAATAATTGAAAAATTTCTTTACATGTATAGACGATTCATAGTAACCCGCTTTTGAATTGGTACGCTTTCTGGATTGAATTGCTTAAGAGCATAATGAGAGAGAACATGCAGCTGAGACTCTTATTTTAATACCCACCCCATGGGCTCTAATGCCACATCCCCATTGGCCCATTTCCCCTTCAGCGTTCGGAGAAAAAACGACTAAAGCTAAAGGCGGCTACACGGTGAGCTTATCTAACAATGTTTTGAAGGCGTTTTACCAACTGCGCTGTACTATTTCCTCAGTTGGTAATCTCCGATGGCAGATGCGTTTCCCAGACGCTTTTCACACCGCTGCGAAAAAAGGGGGGTGGGGGGTGAAAAAAAGAACGCCCCATCTCCACCCCTTTTGCCATGCCCCAGTTCGTTTTGGAGCTCAAAATGGCGGTTATCCCGGCAAACAAAGTACCCCCGAGGGCCGAAGAAAACACCGACCTGCTTTTCAGGCCTTAATGTACCCCGGCTATTTTAATAGGATATTGATTGCCACATTGTGTTCCTTGAATTAAATGAAAGGTCTTTCAAGGATTCGTTTTTTTTTTAATTGGAAAAAGACCAACATATAACTGCAGCCAACAACAATGTAATCATATATTAGGATAGCTTTGCTGTTATAGTTCGCGAGCGAGCTCTCTCTGCCTCGGGACAGAGATCTTATACTCGAATTCCTCTTCCCCCAACTCCTCTTTAGGGACCGGTCATTATTTATCGCCTGGGGGGCAGAGGATTTTAGGCGGGGGTCACTTGATTTATGGGAGAACGAAAGGGGGGATCAGTCGTAACTGAGAACCCAAAAGGGGGGGATCGCTGAAAACTTTAAAAGGATCCAGAGGGGGGACCTTCTCAAGTTTGCTTGTAAGATGAAGACATGGGAGCGTGATCGCGAAAGTCATCAAAA